TCCAGCTCGTGCACAAATCCAATATATTTGGGCAAAAACATCACAAAACCGTCTCGTTTTAGTGTTTTATCGCATTTAATACGGCGAGAAATTTCCCAACAAAGAAACAGTTACCGGTGAAAAGCCGAAAGCCAGGTAATTAAGCGACTCAAAGCAGGCATTCGTTGAGGGGCATTTCCACGTTTGCTCGCTCTTGTGCTTTTTAACCATTCAATAATTAAGTTATTAAGGGAAGAGGCTTTTTTGCCTTGCTGCCCCTGAAACCAAACGAACATTTTTAGAGCTCGTGTTTATTGGGCAATTTAAGGCGCAGCAATTATTTGGACCGCATACATCTCGAGATAATGCAAGGGCAAGAGTCGATAAAATTCACAAAAATGGAAAAATCCCCCGGACCCGGCGGAATACATTCCGAATTTGTAAGATGAGGACCATCCCAACTAGCACAAAAAAACACCAATATGAAAGGTGCCTAATTGGAGAAAACAACCCCAAAGGAATGGACCTGGACCGATCCCCGAAAATGCCGAAATATGGATCTAAACGTGGGAGAGGGCAGATTTTAACTCCTTTTTTGCAGATGACCAGCTAGTGATAGCAGAAGTCGAACAAGATATTAGCTAAGAACAGTGACTTAGAATAAATGTAAACAAGTGTGATTACTTACGAATGTAAGGATCTTAAACTGGAACGATGTAGTTACGGGAGTGCAATTGTGCAAATATTTTTGAAATCATCTTAAGAAATGGCATGATGAAGGGGGTGATGAAGATGATGATAAATAAGGGCAGGAAAGCCACTGAAATATCGCCCGAAGTATAATTATGTATGTAGCACAGAATTGGACTATTTGAGAGGAACTTCTAGGATATCCACAACAGAAAGAACCAGAAACGAAATAATCAGATAGAATATCGGCATAGAAAAGAATGTTATGGATGAGGACGAAAGAAGACAGTTAGTACAGTTCGGGCACACAAAAAGTTCTAGAATTGACTCTAGGAATGAATTGAATCAAGGAACTTAAACGAGAAAATGAGTCACGAAAACAAAGTGTGGAATCTGGGGACGGAGAGATGACGACTTATATATTAATAATAAGAAGCAGGAGAAAGTGGCTCTGGGGAATATCCAAAGGAATCAATATATTGAACTGATAATTCGATTAAACACACAGGATCGACATATGGGCTGAAATTGACTTCGCAAAACTAATTACCTAAATCATTGAATTGGAATGGACGTACGTATGGGTTCGCAATTGGGTATATGAGACCGGTGAATTAAATTGTGCCACTATTTACTAGGCCACGTTCGGCTTATTTAGATTTACGTACTAAATTACTCGCTTAAATCGAGGTAATTGACTATGGCTCGTGGTTTAGCGAAATCTAGCTAGCCTGCGATTAATTAATTGAGTTTCTATTGTTGCAAAGGGGCGGCGCATTTTTATTCATAGAAGCCCAGCCCTAAAAGGCCATTTGGTAGTTTTTTAATTGTTTTTCAGCCTCCGAAAACATCAACAGTAATCCTCACTCGATCCAGTTGGGATAAAATCGGTAATTTATGGAGACTAATCAGGGCGCGTATGACTGTCCCTTGTTGGACCAAATGGAAATTAACCATTTTTTTATTGGCTTTTGAATTATTCCACCCGCAGATCAAAGAGCAATTCTGAGTGGGCAAATTTGGGCTTTTCACGACTTAACATAACAACATTTCCTGCTACCTTTTTAAGCGGGAATGTTGCATAGATTTGCAAAAGTAAAAGCAATTTTTGAGCGGTTCTTTTGCATTAAAAGTGTAGGTTTCCACATGAATGATTCAAGAACCATTTGAGCCACAATTGGTTTTGATATCATTGGATAGAGAGTTGAAAACTCTTGAATACCAAACATTTTAGGTGCACGATTAGAGCAACATTTCATGTTTTCTATCACATTTTTGTTCATGTCGCGGGAACATACTGAGCTACAGCGCTCATTTGGACATCACTGAACAGAGAACTAAATAGTGCGTTTAAAAAGATAAACATCGATTAGGAATTGTTTTGAAGTGCGTTTTGATGTCATTGGATAGAGTTGAAAAATCGATTCAGTTATAACTTCGAGCGCGAGAAACTTCTGGTAGTTTTGACACAACGGACGAAATTTGAATATCAAACATTCAGGTGTACGATTAGGAGACATTTTCATGTCTTTCGGCACGTTTTTGCTCATTTCTCGGTCACAAATTGTATCATGGCGCTCATTTTTACATCAATGGTGAAAGAAGTAAAGGCACTTTTATGAAGTAAAGCTTTACGTGTACTTGAGACTTTGACTTTGCATTTTATTCGATATTTGGACGCTATTTTAACTGAAATCTCTTTGAGCCAAATGAACTATTTCGACGAGTAATTTTATTAGATTTTTTGCCTTATTTGAAAACAAACTTGTCACCGTTTTGCTGCAAAAACCAAGACTACACTATTGCTACTACTGGTTAGTTATAATTCTCTCCAGTGTGAATTTTATTTAAAAAACAGCCTTTAGCGGAAATTCTACGCCATTAGACTCATGGAAAAATGTCCATACACACCTTAATCTCCTCGCACATTAAAAAGATATATTTTTTAATTAAGTCTGCATTTTGAGTAAACTAATGGCATGTTGCGGTCGTTTTTCGTTGCAATTATTGCGCAACGTGTTCAAAAGGTAGGCAAAAGGCTCGTTCAACGACTCTTCTAATTGTAACTGGCAGTTGCAAATGCAAGCGAATTATTTTAATGGAACAGAAGAATAATTATGCCATGTAGAGCAGTATTTATGTAACGCCTGGCATTAGATGTTCCCGTTGTGCGGATTCCTGCTTTGGTTAATTGCAGGATGAAATTGACGAAAACAAAAATATTTATTAAGTCCTTATCCAGAGACTCGATTGAGTGCAATCCTGCCATCAGTTGGCATAATAAAAAAAAATTGCGTCACCTCGAATCTCGTCCCAACTCCCGTTCAGTCTTCTTAGACGTTTTTGCGACGAATTCCCGAAAACCCGATTCCTTTTAAATTTTTCATGAGCAGGATGAGAATTTTTATTGATTCTTCACCGGCTCACTTGACAATGACAAATCGATCAGGCTTTTTTCTCCGTAATTAGGTTTTTCGATGCCGGGAGTTTTGTCGTTTAGTGTCGCGACATGAGGGATCGATGGGTTTTCTTTGCCACCAAAACCACACTTCACGGCAAAAAAATCGGGTGGTTTGACTAATAGATCAGGGCTAAGAGCTGTAAGCTCAAAATTTGTATTTGCATCTTTTGAATCACGCATTTACGATTCAGTAAACAGCCAATAAAAAACTTTCATAGTCGAACAGTTTGTTTTCCTCATCGTCGTAATTCAAACTGGAAATTTTATTCAATCGACCAGTTTTTCCAGCGTTTTCCCCATCGAGTGAACGATATTAAAACAGAAAGCAGATACGAAATAGCAGCCAGAATGGAATATTCGCTCACTCTAATCTCGTTAACTAAGTGCACTGGGGCTTTATTTGAAATCGATGCAAAACGTAATCGGGATGGATCTGACAGGCTTTATTTTATTTAATTTTTCAACCGGATCTGCGATCCTTTTGTTCATTGCAATCGCGAGGGAATTAACAGTTGAATGCGGAACTACTAAGAACAGTGGTTTCAGTGAGACGACAAACAAATTCCAAATCTAGCAACTCTTGGAATATCCTTTGCAGCCTTCTCTGGCTAAAGCGCAAAACTGAAAGCAAACACCGTCGCGCATTTCCTAAGCCAGTTTTATTGGAGTTTCTCGGCAAAGTCGTGTTTGCTTTACACATCCATATATTCGGTATTAATATTTGCCTGAGAAAACCGCAGAATCAGACAAAAAAATGACAGAAAGGCCCGAGGAAAGTTTCCAACAACCAGCTTAATCCGACAGATTCTTCAGCGGTCGCCCTTCCCTCAAGACCAAACCGAAAGAAATATATTCTTAGATTTGGCGTAAGTATTTCGAATCCCCTCGAATAAGAGAAGAGATTTGTCTTAAAGTTTTTGGCAGTTTATTCCTCAGTTGTTCTTGTTCGGCCGATATCACACTTGTTAAAGTTGTTTGATTTATTAACTTGGCGTAAACAATTACAAAAAAGCACGAGTGTTCAAAAGTATTGCCACTGTTTCATTTATAAGGGGCCTTTTCTGGAATGTTTCAAAGTTTGTGTTTATGGAAAATAAATTGGTTTAATTTTGGCAATTCATTATTCGAAGCAATTCAAAGCCAAGAAAAGCAATTTTTTTTAAGAGTACAGGTTTGGAAACCGCGATTTATTTTTGGATTTTTAAATTTTCAATATATGATTAGAAGGGTTTCGCTCCTGAAACCAAAGGTGCTTCAAATTTACCTGGCTTGGAGAAAAAGCGCACTGTTTTCTAAGCGAAAATCGTCTTTTATATAGGATGACTATTGCAAAAATCCATATGGTTTAAATCGGGTTATCGGAGAGGCGACAAATGTTTCCTTTAGAAAATCATTAGAGCCGTCAAAGGTTTCAAATGCAAGAAGGTGCAGATTTTGAAATGTGCTAATTTCAGGCACTCCCAGGACCGGTTTTGAGTCTCTTGGATTTAGCCTGAAATTAACACACCTGAAATCTGTACCTACCAATCTCTTCATCTTCAAGCATCCACAGATACAGGGTGGCCCATAAGTAATGATAGAACTTTTAATGGTGATATATGAGGCCAAAATATTAAAATTTTGCCCAAATTTTTCACCCTTGGAAAGCGTCGAAGACAAAATTACAATTTTTTTTTAGGTAAGTTGGGTTAAAACGTATTATTTTTCCATATGATACGCCATTAAATTTTTCCATTTCCTATGGGACACCCTGAACAAAACTTCCAAAAAATTAGTTATTTCCGGAAGAATCGTGAGCGATTGACAATAAATTGATAAAAAATAATTGTGAGAGTTCAACAGCGAAAATCCATCATTTGACTCTTTCCAGACGTTGAAAACTCTGTGGTGCATGGAATCTTGACCCAAACCGGTCTATTCGAAGGCACAATCTCAACGCCAACCGAAGAGTTTCACATCGAACCAGTGAATCGATACTTCAACCAGAGCACCACTCAAGAACCGACGTTCCATTCAATCATCTACAGGTTGAACGATGTGACGGATCCTTCACAAGGCGTGAGCTGCGCCTCCCAGCAGCTCCATCAGAAGAAGCTGCTTCAAGAGGGAGGATTTGAACGGTCTGGTCGTAGAAGAGCCAAAAGGTGAAAATTCGTCCCAGGCAGAAGGTTTTTTTTTTCAATGAAACTCCCTTAGATGGTTGCTGCAAGCTGAAGCCAAACTCCCCTACGACGATGGAATGTTTTTTCCAAACGGAACGCGAAGACCGTTCATGAGCAGCTTCGACATCAGTCAGCAGCAAATCGATGAAATTTTGGAAGTGGACAATCGCACCCATGTGGACGCTTCTGCCTTGATCTTCAAGAACGTGTTCAAACGAGCAACTATCGATCCGAAAAAAACCACCTGCATGCTGTACCTTCAGGTGAGAGAGTCTGGAAGGATTTGAGAGAATTTGAACGTTTTTTTTTGGTGTTTTCAGGCCGATCATCAGTTCTTTCAGAAATACGGCACCGAAGAGGCGTGCATCGAAGTGATGACTAGACATGTGCAAAGAGTGAATGCAATTTATCGAAATACTGGTAGGTAGTTGGGTGTTTTCCCGCAAAAATGTATTTCCTTTTATCCAGGCCGAGGCGCTATTTGTTTCCTTATGTGGTCGGATTTGATCCCCGTAGGGGATTTTAAAGTTTTAGAAAATCCGGTAGCGAAAAGCCATTTCCTCCATAAAACCCAAGACATAATTATCTTTATGTACCCTGTCGCTCAGTGATCCCGCACAAATAAGGCGCTCTAACAAGAATCTAATTCGGCTGCCTTTATTGGCCGTATTTCGCGCCCTCTGGTGATAAATTGAGTGACATCCTCGAATTACTGAGGGCTTGAGGAGACGATAAATTTCCTCCCGGAGAAAATAAGACGCGAATTTTCCTTTTAAATATTTGCTCGTTTCTAGCGGGGTCCATTTTTCCTTGCGACGGCGACTTTTTGCCCGCTCGCCCACCATTTGCATTTTGAGGACAAGAAACAGTCGACGGGAGGCGAAATTAACACGCCGCTTTTTACCTCAGCCAAAGGGTTGCTGAGAACGTTTTTACTCGCGCCCCCAAAATCCCCCGAGAATCATTTCCACTTACTTGTTGGAACTTTGATGGAAAGCTTGCGCGTTTTCCTATCCACTTTCTGCTGAAAGGTCAAGCGCTTATCCATGGCTCTGCTTCATGAGCTCCAAAAGCCCGGTTTCTCTAGGGGATTATTTATGGATATTTCCTATCAGTAGAGAAGGGTTAATTTGGCTTTGGTAGTGCGATCTAAGGAGGTTTTTTTGCAGATTTCAACCAGGATGGAAAAAAGGACAACATCACTTTCATGGTGAAGCGCATCAAAGTGCATACTCTGGAGGCTCTGAAAGACCCCACATATCGGTTTCCCAATAACTACGGGGTCGAGAAGTTTCTGGAGTTGTTTTCCGGTAAGTGCAAAGGGATGAAAATATACAAATGAATCGCGACGCTTTTGACTCTATATTTGTAACTTCCGGGCTCCGCCAGCAACAATGTTGCAAGAAATTTTGATAAAGCACTGAATTGAACAAGAGGATCGACTGCCTCCTGATATGATTTCACAAATCCCAAATAGTTTCTCTTATAAAACCAAGTCTGATCCCCCATAAGTGAAACTCTTAATTCCAACCACTGTGATGGGCGGTTTTACGCGTCGTTTCTCGTCCCAATTTACCCACTTGGGGTAAACTTTGGAGGCGCAAATTTCCAACAGCAGTAAACCCAAACTGGCCCCAATCATGCACAGATGGATCAGCAACAGCCCTTTCACATGAGCGAATGTGATTTGGTTCACTTCGGTGATACGCGAGAGCTCAGGAAGATCGTTGTTTTTCACCCACTTCATTTCCAACTTCTTCGATATGCCGGCGCTTCGCATCTTCAACATCCTGAAACATTTCCTGAAAACATGGTCTTCCCGAAAGACTTAAACTCACATCCTCGATATGGCTTTCCTTCCTTGGAACCGCTTGGAAAAGCCAATGAAGTTCATCGAGTAGAAATACCTGCAAAACAGTCACAATTTAATGGAAAAGACAGCGAAAATTTACCAGCCTTTGGGGTAAAATAGTAACTGGACATTGGGCGCGATGCAAAGCCCAGGCCATAATAATGCGATTCTCCAGAACAACCACCTGGCCAGTGCAAATGCTTTCTGGGATGGTTTCCCACTTTTGCATGTCCTTGGGACATCGATCGGTGTTCACGATCCTCCTCCAAGCCGGCAACAGTGAACGATCCTCAGACTGAACATCTCAATTTTCCCACTGGCACTATCGGGCCAAAATCAAGCTCACCGTAAAATTATCGTAAACAAACGTGACATTCCTAATGCAAAGTGAGTATGAGCCCTGGCTGGCAATATCAGCAATGCGCTGGAATGGAAGTGGACGATCCAGAACAGCCAGACTAGCCACCAAGCTGGCGCTGAGCGCATAGTAGCACAACACTCCGAAGAACAGCGCTAGAAGAATCTGAAGCCTGCCCGACCAGCTGCGAAGCCTCAAGTCGTACCCTGCAAACCTCAGAAAGTCAACCAGATGATCCCAAAATATTTCCCAAACAGTACCGGTATTGAAAAAGGCCGATACAACCCCCAAAAAGTAAGTGGGAAGCGACAGCACGGCTTCCAGTCCTCGGGCGGTTTTACTCAGCAACACACAACTGAGATACAAGCTGATAGCCAGAAAGACAAAAAACAGCGACATTTGCAGCCATAGGGTGCCGCTGAAGGCCACAAAGTGCAGATAAGTGGCCGGTTTTCCTTCGGGAAGTTTGAAATACAAATGGTACCTGAATTAAACCGTTAGCTGGCCTGGAGGGTTCAAAAGAAACGTACCAGTTGCGGAAATAAGGCTGGGAAAACTCCATATTGGTGGTTTGGTTGGTGTAAACCAAGGCTGCAAGGAAAACATCCGCCGAGTAGTTTTTGATCATCTCCCGGCCTTCGTTGTACCTGGTGGTTCTCACTATGGACCTAGAAGGAACTTTAACAGTTGTCTCATACACGCAACACTGGAACTTGGTACTTGAAGAGCAAAGTTTCCTCAAAGATTTCCCACATGTCCCACAGGAAGCCATTAAGGGAAGAACTGTTGGGCTCCTTGGCGATGTAAGGGAATATCTGAAACCTACGTGAGATTGAGGTGTTTTGCCACTTTGGAAAGAGGTACATCTTGCATCACTACTTGCACCTCGTAGTCCTTTAAAGAATCGCGAGCTGCTTGGAAAAAGTCAGGCCTTCCAGTTCCATGAAGTCGAGGAATGCGGTTAACGAATCGCATGTTGGATGTGTTGGAATTTGGAGGGTTTAACGCATTCGTTAATGGAAACGCTTCCTGCTGGAAACCGAGTGGTTTAATGAAATTGACTGTATGGTGTATGAGTGAAAAATTCACCAAAAACCTGACAAAGTTGCAATTGCAATGATTTTTTCTCCCTAGATAGAGCGGAAATTTCTCTATTAGTCACAGTTGAAAGCAGCTTTATAGCTGGAGTAGGTGTTGAGTAATTAATTTTTGAAAACGCCCGCAGGTAAACGACGATCCACTCGGTTGAATTTTTGAAGAATTCTTAAAAATGATTCAAAAGGGCCACTGCAATGATATTTTTTTAGTGCAAATTCCCATATTTTCTGTTTTGATGTGAATTCATCAATTGAACTATCTACATAAAGTTATTTGCGAGAAATTTTTTTTTTTAAACCCACACCCCAGGCACAACCGTCTGCAAGGTTCACATTTAAAATATTCCCCTAAATTCATCCAAGGGGCCGAACGCAACGATAGTTTCCATCTAAAAAACACCACATTTTCTCTTTTAACAAGTGTAAAAACTATTTATATTTAGCGGTTTTTGAGTAATTATTTTTAAAGGCGCTTTTAGCAATCTAAAATTTTTCAATTAATAAAACCAAATTTTATATTTGAAAAATTCGTCCAAAGGTGCGATTGCAACAAAAGTTTTCGTCTAAAAAACATATTTTCTAATAGAATTTGAGTTAAAACCAACTATCTACAATTAGTAGTTTTTGAGTAATCAATTTTGTGAGTGGCTTCCACTCAATCGGACATTTTTGAATTAATAATTAAATCATTGAAAAATTGGCCAACATTCGGTCAAATGCGCGATTGCAATAAAAGTTTTCGTCTAAAAAGTACCACATTTTCTCTTTTAACTGGTGTAAAAAGCAACCATATATATTCAGTGGTTTTTGCGTTATTATTTTTTAAAGATGTTTTCACTCAATCGGAAATTTGTCATTCAGTAAAACAAAGTTTACCATTTGGAAAATTCGTCAATTTTTATCCAAAAATGCCATTGCAATAATTTTCGCCTCTGAAAATACCGCATTATTTGGCTTCTGATCATAGTTAAATGCAACTATCTATATAGAACGGTTTCGGAGTAATTAATTTTTAGGCGCCTGCAATCAAAAGACATCCAATAAGAGTCGTATTCAAAAGTACCTAAAAATGCAACTGTATTAAAATTTTTGCAGTGAAAATATCGATATCCCCTGTATTAACTGGTATTCAAATCACCTCTTCATATTGCTGTGCAGTTTTTGAACAACTAATTGTTTGCAGTCTTGAGACAACAAAGGTAATTTTTAAAAATGTATTAAAAATCATCCAAAAACGCCACTGCAATAAAAATAGACAGTTTTGAAGTAAATAATTTTATAGTAACCTGCACTCAAGAGTGTTGCCTTGCAAGAGTGATTTTAAAGAATTCCCCAAAAATTACCCAGAAACGTCCATTGTAGCCAAATTATCAGAATCACGAAACGAAACCAAAGGGACCTCAATCAGAAACAGAAAATTAATAATTAAAAAAAAATCCGCCTTGAGTTCCCATTGTAATGAATATTTTTTGATCGCGGTTTTTGAACCTCAGTTTCAAGCTTAACATTTCCTGGAAAGCTCCTAATTGTTGATCCAGTTTTGGGGTCAAAAAGAACATAAATTTGCCTCTCAACCAGTGTTAAAAGAATAGTTTTTACATCAATAAAATTTGTAAAAACTAACTTTGAAAATCGCCTCCAATCGAAACATTGCATTCGAAAAAAATGTAAAAATTGTTCCAAAAGAGACACTGCAACGATTTTTTCCCTGAAAAACTACCGCATTTTCTCTATTAATCAGCTGAAGATCTACTTGCGGCAATCAAACGACAAATGAAAAATTCACCAAAAATCAGCCAAACACTCAATTGCAGACGTTTTCACAGCACAAGGAAACAGAAGTCTTCTACCCCGTGTTTGAATCAGCTCCCCACATAAGACAGCGTTTAAATAATAATTTTTTCAAACGCCTGCAGTCGAACGACGATTTGCAGTAGTGGCAAAGTAACGAAATGATGTTATTACAACTTACTTTTAAGAAAACTCCAAAAATCCACCACAATTCCCAGTGGACAACAGCCATCCCACTCGGTTAATGGCTCTTCGATGGGAACTTCTTGGGAATTAACCGATTGCTTTTCGACTTGCAGGATTATATAGCGTGGAGCAAATTGCCCGAATTAGGCGAGAACTCGTTAGTAATCGGACATTGGCGTTCGTATTCAGCATTTTCTGGCTAAAAGTGGATGATTTCTGGCAATTTGCCTACTGCGAAAAAAACTGCCCAGATATCAAGCTCTCTGTGTCGAATAGATCCAGTTAATTAACAGAACCACCATTCATTTGTGGTACTTTTTCAATTGCTGACTTTGTTGACGTTCGTTCGAGCAGAAAAAGCCATTCAGAGTCCTCAAATTAACCAGACCGCGGTATGTAATTTTCCAATCAGCTCAAAACGGGAAAAATCAACATAAAAGCGCACCAAATCACAATTCAATGGGAGTTTTGGGGAAACGCTACCGCCCCCCGTTCAATTACCCAGTCAATGACAAACCGTGGGAATTTCAACAGCATAAAACAGCGTCGTCCCTATAAACTACTAACTTAAACAAACCTGTATTCGATTTTTCCAAATTTACTGAAGTTTAGAAAAGCTATTTACTTTTCCCATTTGGCTTCATCATCATCGCCAGCTACGAAATAAATCCGAAAAACATCCGGTAAATTGATTCCTCAGGGCATCGAGTATCCCCATGCCATCATCCGCTGGGGAAAGAAGGAAATTAAGGGACCAGGCCTAAGGTAAATATGGGAAAACAACCCCTCTAAGCGCAAAGGCGAAGGGAAAGTCTGCCCTGTTTACCGACCAGATTTGATTAAACTTTAGTTTTATTATTAATAAAGTGAATGGATATAGTGAAACAAACTGGCAGAAGATGTCCAAGCCACTTCAGCTGCAATGTTTACGAAACGATGCTGCCATAAGGGGACAAACGTGGTGCTGACAGGTGAAACCACTTTGCAAGAGACACGTGGGGCGGCTGGGGGCAGATTTATGGCGGTCGTAAGTTTGTCCTTTCTGACCGGCCTTCCGGAGCATCCCATATAACTTTTGCAGCAGCGAATGTAAACGAAACGGGAATTAACCGGGATTAATTGCGCGCTGTACCGGAAGCTTACCATTTTGGTTTCTAGTTGTCTTCAACTCTTCCCTATTTAAATTTGATGCTCTGGAAAATGCAAATGCCAACCAGTTTCAGTGGAAATGTTTTCCTCATTTGAAAAAGGTATAAACCTCAGTTGACTGAGAAAATTGCAATTTTTACACTCCCGGGCCGAATTTTGAACAAAACCCCACCTGCCACTTGTGCAACTTCCTGCTCTAGTTGGCAGGTAAAGAACAACGGCTTGGATTGCTCCACCCTTCTGACATGAATTTAAGCTTCTAATAAAACGCGGCGTTTTATTGCGGCGGAACGACGTCGGAATGCCAATGATATTTCCCTCATTTTATTAGTTGCAACTCCCCCAATTTCTTACAGTCGCGTTATTTACCGTCGATCCAAATAGCCAAACAACGATCAACCTCCAGACAGGGGAAGGAAAAAAACGGAGAAAAAGTCTCGCATTTGTTTCGAAATCGGACGAACGAATCTCTATATCCGAGACAATTACAAACTCCTGCTGAAATATAAGAATGGCAAACTGAAACTCCTTTAAACAGCCATCCTAAGGCTCCTAAACGAGTCGGTAACGAGAAAGCAGGTAAAGTACACAACGGAAACGGTCATTCTAAATCTCCATTACGGTTCAGGGAGCGCATTTTTCCCGTTGAGATCGTTATTTATTTAACGGTCGTTTACGTTGTCGGGTTAACAAAAAAGGCTTCTCCTTATGCAAAATACTCGCTTTGCATTCCCATTGGGTTCAAAGCGTTTACAAGCCCTATCCCCAGTTCAATAATGATCGGGACAACCTTTCTATGCTCGTGAATCCACTCGTTTTTATCTCATTCTCTAAGGGAAACTGCAAAGAAATGAAGGAAGGCAACTAGAAGCTTTTTTAAATTGTCCAAATCAAGACTTTACGGAAAGTGGAATTTTGGATGGATCGAGCATTGGTTCCTCTATTGATCGGGTTTGAAAGCCCCTCTGTAAACCAGGCATCCAAAGTGAAGGCAGCAAATAAGAGTTATTTTCAAAAATTCACACCATGTTACCCAAAAATGCCACTGCCGTGAAATTTGCAGGGTAGACGGCTCCGTACCTTATCTATTTGACGAATAAAATAGAGCTTTCTATGTCGCGTAGTTTTTGACAAATTATTTTTTCGGTACCTGTAGTCAATGGACCACTTAGAAGGGTAATTTTCAAAAATTTGCCAAAAATTGCCCTAAACTGGAATGAAATTTTTAGAACAAAGAGTTTTACCTCCTGCCTATTTTACACTGTTGAAAGAAGTTCCATAAAGTAAGTAGTTTTTGAATAATGATTTGTACCTGGCATTCAAAAGACAACAATTTTTAATTTTTTTACAAACTTCTTTTTGGGTATTTCGCCTCAAGAATTTTTGTCTTTAAAAAAGACT